TGTGTAAAAAATCACTATGATATATTTCTCACCTTCCTGAACAAAAGTTGTGTGGGGCCAAAGCAATCCTATGCTTAGTTGTTTAAAAATATGGAGATGAAGTTTGGTGAATGTGCCCATTGTAGTTGTCCGCCCAATACTCAGAGAATTGTCATAGTTCAGAAAGCCAACAAGCGCAGCTACGTTATAGTCAAGCGGAATCGCATAACAAACATTTGTTGCGCGAGTCAGTAGACTACACAGTCGAGCAAGTTCGCAAGCACACAAGGCCGCGACTCTCACTGTGAACAAAATTAAATGGTGCGACTTTAGGTCCAACCAAAATCATAATTTTTCTTCAACAACCAATCCCAAAATTAATTTTAGGATCAATTTAAAATTGCCGAATACTAATTAGCAATGCCAAGGCACCCCTCAAATTTACGCACTTCTTTTGCTCTCCCTCCTTCCTTCCTTCCTTCCTTCCTTTCTGCTTCCCGTCTTTCTCCCTGACTTTGTTTGGCATCTGGGCTACAAGACCTGACAGACCTACTGACTTACAAGACCGAACCAAGAGCAAAAGTCTTACGGTCCGCTCTGACAGACAGTGACGAATAGGACTGCAGAAAGTATTTCATTTAAAACGAAGGTACTGTGAGCCATTTGGCCATTTGACCTTGATATTAGATTGATATTAGATTTTAATACATATTCTAATGTAGAAATTACCGTTCTTTCGATTTCCGATGTTAAAAATTACACTCTATTTAAAAAACAAAAATTCACCTTGAACTGGAGGCCTAAGGTCAAATCCAAGACTACCATTGAACTGTTACTTGTTTAAGACCTGACCTTGACCGTTTTCAAGAGTATTTTATCTGGAATAGTACAGATCTACTTTGAAAATGATGTCCATACCATCCAGTCATTAAATAAACAGGGTGGTGCGCTTGGACCCAACGCATTTTAAATGGCTATAAAATTGCTCATATTTCAGCTAGGAGAGGCAAATAAAGTTCAAAGTTAAGAGTGGTAATGGAAATGTGTGACGTATGGAAATAAATTTCTCTTAGGTGCCATCCCCCCTTGTTCAGAGAAGCTTTCTCGGACTCAATTACCGATGTGTCGCATTGATCGTAGCAGTATGTTAACTGGAATAGCAACACCTTCATTCCAGCTTATTGTCTCGAACCTCTGGGTGGTAAGGAACCTATCTCTGTAAACCCCTCGGCGGTCAAGAATCATCTCCATTCCGCGCTAGTTTATTCCGCGACTACTACAAGTAAGCATAAAGTGAATGTCAGCTAGCTCAATTGTGACATTTTATAGAAAAACCTAGATAATATGAAAAACCTACATAATATAAAAAAAAAAATTTAAAAAACTTGAATAATATAAAAAAATTGATATGTCACTTTTCAAGTTATGAAATACGTGTACAAAAATGCACCTAAAAGAAGTTGTTTTTCATATATATAACTTGTATCGCAACTTTAAAATTTATTTGTCGCTCCTAGTTTGAATATTAGCAATTTTACAACAATTTAAAACGCGTCAGATCCAAACGCGCCACCCTGTATTTACATTGTAACGCTTCCTTTCCGCAAAAAGTCCAGAAAAGATGGAATGCAATGAAGATTCCAACTTTTCTGCACAATCACACAAAGGGGGTTACAATTAGCTTCCGGTAGCTCAGTCGGTGGCATGAAGACATCTACAGGCGTGTAGCTGTGTGTCGACCATGGCATGGCTAGAGGATAGAAGAACAAACAGAACACAAAAATTTAACAGATTTTATTTAACAAAAAAAAGGCATTTTCATTACATTACAATTTTACAAAAATAACAAAATAAGTTTTACATCTTTGGCGCTGCTATAACGCTATCGACTTATCTTTCGCTGGTCCATTTTTACTCGACTGAAGCCATGATGGCCAGGGGCTTGAAGGGGAGGTCCCAGTTGTGAGGGGTGACCTCACATATAGTGGCTTCGTAACCAGTTGTAGGCGAAGTTAAAGGCGATGGCGCTGCCAAGGCACATGCATGGGTGAAAATATTGGCCAAGGCTAGGCAAAGTGAAAGGGAAAGAGAAAGGGGGTGGCCTCAATCATTTTTGTCCTATACGGACACACATTCTGGAAAATTCTAGCACATGGTGCTATATAACCTTGTGCTACTGAGAAGAAATTTCTAGCCGTTGTTCGATCGGCGGCTCAAGTGAAAAAAAAGCGCGAGGAAGATCGCAGATCAGGAACTCCGCATCAAGCGCTCCAAGCGGAAAATTTTCCAAGCAAAAAAGCTAGAGATGGGATTAATGAAATGATAATCGAGAAGTGATTTAATAAATAGGATCGGACGGTGAAACCGTTACACTCGCCCCAACTTAACCAAAAAAAAAAAATCGAAGAAGCATTTAAGAATTTTTTTTTTTTTACTAGGAAATTGAAAGTTATCACGGAAGGACAAATGTACAACCATTCGACCAGATAACAAGTAGTAAAAGTAAGGTAGAAACAAAAATGTTAGAAGAGAATTGGAAGAAAAAGGGATAGCCTCAAGTCTACCAAACAAGAGGGATGGTTATAGCACCAACTCGCTGAAAACTACAGTGAAGTTGCACTTAAAAAAACTATCATCATATGATGAAAAACCCAAAACATAAAACATCGTCATACCTAAGACGAGAAAAATAATAAACCAAAAGTTTCAGCAGTAGTCCAAGCACAAATCACAATGGCATCCAAAATGCACGACTGACTACTAAAAACTTCAAAACTAAGTAAGTACCTAAACCATAAGAGGTACTAAAAAAATAATAATCTTTCTCAAAACAATTGCCAGATTATCTCGCAATACTCCAAACCCAAAAAGATTATGATCTACAGTGATATTTTAAACCAATATCCAATATAAAAAACTGTGCATTACTATTTTCAAAATATGAAAATCAAAAGAAATTAACAAATTCCATTAGGAATTCAAGTCATATAACAAAACAATTTACAAGTACTAAACCAATGAAAACTTGATCAAGAAGGTATTTTAATCAAAAAGATGTTAACTAAGTGCAGTTCTGATTCCACAAAAAAATTGTCGGGCGCCAGCAGTCTGTAGGACTACAAAATAATTCAAAATATTTTCAGAGAATTAAAGTATATAAGGGACATTCATGAAATATTGAAGTAAGATTTTCAAAGTCAAAATATAGCTTAAGTTCAATCAATGAACTAAAATTCAAGAGTAAGTTCAATCAAAAATTTCGGGTCATGTGACAACATAAGAACCAGACCAAAAAAAAAATTTGAAGTACAATATAGAAAATAGCAATATAAATTTCCAAAAAAACTAAGTGCAACACAAGTGCAACTGTAAATCTAATAGTGTTAAAATCATAAAGTGAAAGGAAATATCAAAGCTATATGAGCATGATTTTCTAAAGAATTCTCAAAAAAATTTAAAAGTAAGCAAAATATTAAAAGTTTCATGAGTAATAAATGAGAAACGAAGTGAGCATATGTAAAATGAACAATAGCGAAACGAAAATCACAAGATATTTTATTAAATCATGATACATGAGAGTAATGCCGCAAGCAAAAATTGTATGCAAAAGACTACGATATATGTAGGTGCAAAATTGGAGTTATAAAAAAATCTAGTGAACAAGAAATAGAAATAAATATGATAGGTAAGAATTCGAATTTTGATTTAAAGCAAAAATATGAGAGAAAGACAACTTTCTAGGGTCACCATAGGTGCATTCCAAAGCCCTAGACAAGAATGTCTATAGTCTATGGAATATTCTCATGTAGATCACTGATATCATCAGCGCACTTCAAAGTCTACACTGAGAATAACCATAACATTGTAAAATGAAAGTTAAGTTCAAATATGAAATATTACAAGATTAGAAAAACTATAATAATTTACCAGTGTAAAGTATGAAAAAAAAGAATTACTATACTGAATCTATAAGAATTGGCGATTACTTCAAGCCAAGACAGAAATTGAAATAAATAAGAAGTCGGAAAAAAAAACTATGAGAGCAGACTATCAAAACAAATGCAATAATGCAAAAGCAAAATCACCAGATATCTCAAAATCTATAGCGAAACATGAAAGCAATGTCGCAACCAAGCTCAAGACTTAGCAATACGCACAAATGTGCACAAAGGCTGAAAGCATATATGAAAATCTCAAGAAGGGATTGACAATTACTTCAAATCAAATTGAACTGATTGAATTGAACTGAGACATAAATTACTATATCAAAGTGAGTTTTACTTATACGCCAGAGGTTTCAAGAGTTTATCAATACGCACAGATTTGCAACTAGGCGGAAAGCATATATGACAAGTCTCAAGAAGAAAATAAAATGCATATGAAGAAAACACTTTCAATTAAAGAAACTGTGGATAGTACAAGACCCTCAAGGCATACATCGCAACGAATCTATGTAACTATCCAGACTACAAAATACTGTCAAAGTTCAAAACCACTCAAAAATATGTAAACAAACATCAAAAGTTTTAACCAAAAATCAATGTAAGTCTGTGCTCTCGAAGAAAGTTATAATGAATTCAAAAAGAGGATACTATCAAAAACTTCAAAAGTAATAGACTTCAAAAATAGAAGTACGTAAGTATGTAAAGGAAATTCAGAAAATATACGCATAAAAACATTATAAAATATTATACACAGTATTTGTCACATGATTTAGATCGGGAATGCAATTTAAATTTTGAGTACACTCAGAAAAATGAAATATTCAAAAGATGAAGTATACACATTAAATTGGAATCAGAAAAATAATGATTACTTGTAAATTTTGTACATGGTGGACTGACGTAATGGTTCAAAAGGTTGAAAGAACAACGATGACTAATGTCCAAAGTAAACATTCACCTGCCTTTTACAGGAAATTAGCTTAACAATTATCAAAGGAAATTCTTGTCCGTTCGCATCTGTACTAGGAAATAAATATAGGAAAACCTACTCGCTCCAATGTACAGATCGAAAAACTCGCTCCCTTCGATTGAGCGGAAATATGAGTATTGGACAAATTGTAATATTTCAAAAGGTTGAAGGATCAACGATGACAAATGTCCAAAGTAAACATTCAGCTGCCTCTTACAGCAAATAAGTTTATTCATTATCAAAGGAAATTCTTCTCCGTTCGCATCTGTACTAGGAAATAAACATAGGAAAACCTACTCGCTCCAATGTACAGATCGAAAAACTCGCCCCCTTCGATTGAGCGGAAATATGAGTATTGGACAAATTGTAATATTTCAAAAGGTTGAAGGATCAACGATGTTAAATGTCCAAAGTAAACATTCAGCTGCCTCTTACAGCAAATAAGTTTATTCATTATCAAAGGAAATTCTTCTCCGTTCGCATCTGCACTAGGAAATAAATATAGGAAAACCTACTCGCTCCAATGTACAGATCCAAAAACTCGCCCCCTTCGATTGAGCGGAAATATAAGTATTGGACTGATTGTAATATTTCAAAAGGTTGAAGGATCAACGATGTTAAATGTCCAAAGTAAACATTCAGCTGCCTCTTACAGCAAATAAGTTTATTCATTATCAAAGGAAATTCTTGTCCGTTCGCATCTGTACTAGGAAATAAATATAGGAAAACCTACTCGCTCCAATGTACAGATCGAAAAAACTCGCCCCCTTCGATTGAGCGGATTTTTTTTGTAGTTATTATATTTAAAAAAAAGTTAAAAACGTGAATACATCAATAAATGACAAGGATCCAAAACACTATAAAAAACTAACAATACAAACAAAAAGTTTCAATACAAAAACATGAGCAGCCGAATCTTAAAAGAAATTATTTTATATCTGACATAGATTAAAAAGGTACAGAGACGTTCAAGTCCTGTTAATCCAATGGAAAATCAGACACTAATGTTCTAATTTCCCCCAAAGAATATGCCAGATAAAACTATAAAACATTAAAATTATGAAACTTATGCTCCAAACAAGAGACAAAATTACTACAATAGTTATTTAGGAACGTATACTATTTCAACAACAAGTTGAAATTTAATTATCATAAATGAGTATGTGTGTCTTTGTATAGGTAAAAATGATTTAGGAGTCACCCCCTCATTGAAAAGTAGCAAAAATATAGTCAAGAAAAACATCATTTGTTTCTTGAAAAAAAAGAAAGGTAAGTATCAAAGTACTATGTCCAAGTGTCAATACTTGAAAAAGTAAACCGCCAAAATATACGAAAAATTATGAATATCAATTTCATATAATTCAGAAAAATGGATAAATCGCAAAATGATTTACTCCAGATAACTCTAGTCAGTAGATTATTGCCATCAGAATGAAAACAAATGATCAAAAGTTCAAGTACAGTCAAAAATTCAAAAAGTAAATACATTTGGGGAAGGCAAAAATAATTTTGAAAGTAAATTTCCTACGTACCAAACATCATGAGAGCTATATCAGTACACCAGAGATCCAACAATTAGGCTATATATGCATACATGAAAAGTCTCAAGAAATCAAAAAACTGCACATGAAGAAATATGTACTTTCAAAAACTAAGAGGTTAGTGATCAAAAATGAAAAGCATATAAGAATATGTAAACTATCAACAACAATAGTCACAACCTCAATCAAAAGTTGATGATATTCGACAAAAATGCTGGGAAACCTAAAGTCCCCAGACTATCAATATTCAACAACAAAAAAAATATCAAATATCATCAATCTCAAAAGTACAATGAGAAAAAAGTTATAACTGTCCCCAGCAGTAAATAAAAACTGTAGTAGTATGTGAGACAAAAAATTCTGGCAATGATCTCGCTGACTACTAAACAAGACAATTTAAAAGTTAATAGTATGCCTATGAAATAAACAGGTGGAAAAAATTTTAATCTTTTGATAAAAATTTTAAACATTAAGCAAAAAGTAAGGATGATTAAGGAATTAGAAATTTGAGTACCAAAAGCAATTAAAAATAGAAATGCTGCCAAAGATTGTAAAGAATTTTGAAAACTATGTTCTGTCTGCCAATCTTCCACTAGCAAACCACTTGTCGACAAAGCCAAACACCTATCGTGCCCCACGTTGGGCGCCAATTTATGTAACGCTTCCTTTCCGCAAAAAGTCCAGAAAAGATGGAATGCAATGAAGATTCCAACTTTTCTGCACAATCACACAAAGGGGGTTACAATTAGCTTCCGGTAGCTCAGTCGGTGGCATGAAGACATCTACAGGCGTGTAGCTGTGTGTCGACCATGGCATGGCTAGAGGATAGAAGAACAAACAGAACACAAAAATTTAACAGATTTTATTTAACAAAAAAAAGGCATTTTCATTACATTACAATTTTACAAAAATAACAAAATAAGTTTTACATCTTTGGCGCTGCTATAACGCTATCGACTTATCTTTCGCTGGTCCATTTTTACTCGACTGAAGCCATGATGGCCAGGGGCTTGAAGGGAGGTCCCAGTTGTGAGGGGTGACCTCACATATAGTGGCTTCGTAACCAGTTGTAGGCGAAGTTAAAGGCGATGGCGCTGCCAAGGCACATGCATGGGTGAAAATATTGGCCAAGGCTAGGCAAAGTGAAAGGGAAAGAGAAAGGGGGTGGCCTCAATCATTTTTGTCCTATACGGACACACATTCTGGAAATTCTAGCACATGGTGCTATATAACCTTGTGCTACTGAGAAGAAATTTCTAGCCGTTGTCGATCGGCGGCTCAAGTGAAAAAAAAGCGCGAGGAAGATCGCAGATCAGGAACTCCGCATCAAGCGCTCCAAGCGGAAAATTTTCCAAGCAAAAAAGCTAGAGATGGGATTAATGAAATGATAATCGAGAAGTGATTTAATAAATAGGATCGACGGTGAAACCGTTACAACATATACAGGGTGTCCCAACGAAAATGGAAAATAGTTTTATTTCCCAAAATGGCAAATAATTCAAAAATATGTTTTCGAAGCAACATTGATAAATTACTAGTGCATGTATTAAAATTATTTTAATATATGCAGAGTGTTCCATAACCTTGTGTCACAGCAATCATATTTTTTTAATAGAACACACTATATTTAATGTATATTTGAATAGAGCTTATAAAACATCTTGGATTTAAACATGAAATGAAATCTTCTATCAATCAATAACTTTTATTAACACAACAAAAATAATCTCAGCCTAAGGCAATCAATCTTAATAAATTGTTCGAATATTCTACCTTGGTGCAAAGCACACAAGGCTAGACGCCTGTTGAAATTATCTTGCACGTTAACAGGGTTTGTCTAGGTATCTGCTTAACTATATTTCATGCCCTCGGGTGTTGTAAGTTTCTCTGGTAAACCTCTCCTTTTACACGGCCCCCAGAGAAAGGAGTCGAGAGGCGTCAGATCCCCCTATACAACTATTAGGGTATCAGCGGTCTAGATATTCCCGTACCGCTTGATGATAATATGGTGGGGCACCGTCATGGTACCACAAATTTCTCCAAGTTGTTAAATTTACATTCTCTAGTAAAAGAGCTTTCCCAAGTTGCTAAAACAACGTGGTTGTGAAGAAATACTGGACCTGAGATCAAACTTCTGGAAATCAACAGAACCGCTATAATGAATGACTCTTGGGTTAAGATGAGTCTTGCTATGCGAAAAAAAATGTATTTTGCTTTTAAGTCTAAATGTAGAATATATTTTTTTCTTGGAATTAATAGCAATAACTTCAAAACTTTCCGAAAAGTTATAACAAAAGAAAGTTCCAAAGGAAAGCTATTTAATGATGTAGAAATATACAGGGTATTCCATTTGAAATTTATGAGAAAAGGCACATATAGCATTTTGAGATACCTTGCATGAATAGAAAGATATTTTATCATTATTTTTCAAATCAGTCTAAAATCCATAATAATAAATAAGTGTTTAGTTCACACTTATTATCTAAATATCTTCAAACAACGGCGGAGCTGCAAACCGTCAACGTACGGCGTTTTTTCAGTCATTTCACCAAATATCTAAACAATTGACAATCGAAACCATGTTATCTGATATCAATCTTCTTGTTTTTAGAAGCTCCATCCAATATGCAAAATATAGGATATTCTATTTTAAAAAACTCATCCTTATTGCGGCAAGAAATTATGGAACAGACACCGTGTACATATTAAAGTAATTGCAAAATATTCACTAGTAACATATTACGGTTACAACGAAAACAGACCTTTGATATATTTTCCAGTTTGCTCATAAAAGTACTTTCCATTTTTGTTGGACACCCTGCATACAGAGATACCGCATCTGTTGTTATTCCGTTACTCTTTGTACAAAGGCATTAGTTTACATAGAGCAGCAAAATGCTTTTTGGAAGCCTTCTTCGTATGTATTTTCCTCGTTATTTTCAAAGAGGATTGGGTTTCATAAGATTGAGTGGCATAGATAGAGAATGGATTTGTGAAGGTACTGACGTAACACACCGCCGCATCGTCGGAAAGCATTATACACAAAGGAAGTTGTCGAAAGCATTGGATAGAAACGAGGTTGAATTCTCAAGGCGATAAAACAATGTTGAATTTTGTATGGCTGTACCTATACAATTTTTTATTCAGGATGAGAACACAGAATAGGAAAACTAGGAGCTACGGTCAGGCAAACTCCTTAATGCAATTTTGCGTCAAGGTCTGACTTATCGCTTCTTTTTTACAATGAATTCGCGATAGTCCTGAACAATCGTTTATATTAGACAAGATCGAAGCTGCTTGCTAGTAAGACAAGATCATATCATTAATTTATATGGATTACTGTTTTTGATATTCTCTACCCGCTACCGGCTGGAGTTAATAGTCTAATCATATTAGCAAATTTCAAAAAATAATTGTAAAGTCGGGTTTTATTGATGCAAGTTGTTCAAGGGGATATTTAAAACATGGACGCATAAAATGGGTACACCAATTTTTGTGGGAAAACTTTTTATTCGACAACAAGAATGAGAAAACGTGTTTTGTGAGCATTAAATTGAAAGTGTTAGCAGGAACGAAAAAACTCTTCAAATAAGATTGTTAGGTATTTATAAGACCTATAAAATGAGACCACACGTAAAGAGGTCCGACCAATAGTAAAAAAGCTATGGCCAAAAATCGAGGCAGGTTTTGTTGCTTGTTGCTAATGCGACAATAATTTCACGCAGCTACTTGAAATTTTTCAAATCCGTAGGCTTCATACTTCTAAATTACTACAACAAAATTGGAGTCGATTGGTCAGGTAGTTTTTGAGAATTTCTAATTTTTATTTTTATGCGAAAAACGAAGGGTTATCTTCAAAAATTATCTGCTATAATCCGACATAATGTTTTGTCAAAGAAATATAAACAAAATTTTAAACTATCATACTGGTTTCCTGATTGCAAGCTTACACTGTCTATGGCGTGCGAAAAAGTGTTTGATCGCAAATAAAAGTACACATAATGTGAAAAAGCATTTATTTCTCCAAATTTAAAAAGAAATAATAATACAGAAAAAAGGAGCTTTGTCGGTTCGAACCTCCGTCCTGCTGTTCTGCAATCGTCAACCCTTTCCATTACGCTACGACGCCTCTTGGTTTACTGGATTCTTAT